TGGGGGGGGGGGGGGGGGGGGGGGGGGGTTGGGGGGGAGCGCGCCCCCCCCCCCCCCTTTGCATGGGGTTCGGGGGCCGCTGAAGGGCCCCGAAAATTGTTGGTATTTTAGAGGGCGAACAGTGCTATTTGGTACGGTTTAGAACTATGATTCATCTAGTTAAAATTCCCATTACAAGATGGGACCATCGGTGTGATTTTTTTTTTTAAATTGAAAGGGGATCCAGGACTCCCCTGACCCCCTCCCCCACCCCTAAATCCCCCAGTGTATTAGTGTGTATGTGTATGAGGGACTAACGCCCACTGAGTTATGAGGGATACGTTTTAACATATTGCGTTGGGTTTTATAACCGCGGAAAGAAATCAGCACTTGTAAACAGTGATTTGAAGTTATGCAAATATATTACAAGATATGAACGTCACTGACATGCTTTTGTTGTTCATTTTTTTGTGAAGAGAAAACAAAACGGATCTTTATTGAGGCATCAACACAAATACCATTCTTTCTACCATTCATGCAGGGTACCTAGACACTGGTGACTACTGGAGATCCTGGTACGACACTGCCGACTTCCGAGATCAACTAGAGCAACTGTATGAGGAGATGAAGCCGCTCTATCTGAACCTACACGCCTATGTAAAGAATAAACTGAAGGCAAAATATGGAGAGAGCTTGTTTCCACCGAGTGGACACATTCCAGCTCACTTATTAGGTATGGGTGTTATCGCGTTCTAGATGTGGTTCGGAATTATGCGACAATTTAATGTTAGAATATCACAGATTGTTTAAAAACCTTGAGGTATTGCAATATATGTAATAGTGATAGGGAGGGGCAGGCGGGGGGGGGGGGGATCTGACCAAATAGCACACCAGAGGGGGTGATATGTTGTCACATCTATCACAACCTCATTCCCTGATGAAGTCTGACTGCAAGCAGACGAAATATTGGCTGTTAAGACCAGACAAATATATGTAGCTATAGACAAAAGAATCTTCACAAGTCTATTACAATAACATAGCTAGTGAAAGTGTTTTAAATTAAGAGAGATGTTCTTCAATATATTACGTTGGGTTTGCCCCATTATGGAAAGAAGACAGCATTTATAAAAAGTGATATTAAAATAATGCAAATAAAATTCAAGATATGCACCTCACTGACATATCTTTAATATTCATTTTTCGTGAAATGAAAACAAAACAGTTTTTTATTCAACACAAATGACGCAACTGGACGTACTGTCAGTATGACACAAAATAAAGCATTTCACTTTTTTTCACATTTATTTCAAGGGAATATGTGGGCCCAAAGTTGGAACAATATATTCGACCTCGTGGAGCCTTTTGCTGGGAAACCTAGCGTTGACGTCACCCCTCAGATGAAGAAACTGGTAATGACGGGCTTATAAGTTTTCTACCCTCTGAAAGTGTATAGATTTATTCTGAAATTATTGCAATGGATATTTCTTGTGTAGCGTCACACACACACACACACACACACACACGCACACATATATATTGAGCAGTGACATCTGTAAATAAAGATGTAAACAAAAGCTTTAAAACATTAAAAATGTTTCACTCGTAAGCGGTGTAAAATTGTACCTCAGAATTGAAATATGGCAGTGGTTTTTATCTCCCAAAAACATTGTAAGGTGCGTTTTTTTATTGAATTCCTGGAATTTTTTTTAGAATTACACGGCCCGTAAAATGTTCAACATGTCTGAGGAATTCTTCACTTCGCTGGGTTTGAAAGCAATGCCACAGGAGTTTTGGGATCATTCCATGCTAGAGAAGCCTACGGATGGACGTAAGGTTGTGTGTCACGCGTCAGCTTGGGTTTTTTACAACCAAAAAGACTTCAGGTAAATGTCAACATTGGTGGCCTTTGTAACCGCTCAAAATTAGATCAGTAATAGTGCAACTGACGTCACAAGACGACCAGATATATATCATACGGGTCTGCCTCGTGGTTCTTTCTGCTTCTTGTTAGTTTGGATCTGTAAGCGGCCTTTCTTCTTTACTACTTTTTAAACAAGTTCTTGCGATAAATGTTTTGTTTTCTTAATTATGCATAATAAAGATAGTTCTCTTAATTAGAAAACCGATGGTAAAATACTCACACACAGGGTCCAAGTAGCAGAGTCCAGCTTCAGTTAGATTCATACAGGTTAGGATTAACTGGACGTAAGTGAAAGTGGATCAAATTTCAGGAAGGGGGCTTAACCGCACAAATTAATGTGCACCGGACCCTATATGCTAGGGGCTCTCTAGTAAATGACACTGGGCTTGTACTTCATTGTTGAGATGATAACATAAAAGTATCATTTACAATTACTTGATCCGAGGACTTACTGGTCCCTGTATCGAATATGGCGAGCACGTATAATCCCTTAACAATAATGCATTCTATTCCACCCCTCCCACACGCGCCATCCCAGCAAAGGCAGGGCAATTAAATCTCCGCATTTTTGGGGGGTGGTGGCGCCATATTTGATCCGCATACTAGTTAGTCTGCGGAATAACTGGTTGTGAATGCTCCCAAAGAGGTAAATGAGTCGTATATTGGGTTTTTGTTTTGTCAGAATCAAACAGTGCACAGACATCACGATGGATGATCTGATCACAGTCCACCATGAGATGGGACACGTGCAGTATGATCTCCAATGTAAAGATCAGCCAGTCGTTTACAGGGGGGGAGCAAATCCCGGTATGGATTGCCTGTGTTGTTTTTGCTTTGTATAGTACTTAGTTAACTCCTCCTTAATGTTCAAGAAGTCAAATTCATTAGAATGAAATTATGAATATTGATTTGGAGAAAAACTATTATGAGATTCATAAAGAAAAAAAGGAAGACGAAATTAACTTTCTAAAACCACCCCTCATAAAATTAATAAAATGAAATAAAAGAGAAAACATAATAAATAAATAAGTTGTGCGTTTACTAATTTTGGTATTTATAGAAACAAGATAAAGGCCTTATTTTTAACACTGTGCAGAACAACGTAGACCTAGGAACACAGGTTGTTGCAATACAGAAATGCTAAGTTTAAACTTCGTTTTCAGCATGACACAACTAAGAAGCCCTCCAATTCTCTGTCCTTATACTTACAGGGTTCCAAGAGGCTGTTGGTGAAGTATTGGCCCTCTCAGTCTCCACGCCCACACATTTGAAAGAGATCGGCCTGCTGGACAACGTTACCAATGATAATGGTAAAAACAATGAAATATTTGGGAAATATTTGGTTTTTACGTTTTCAGTGTTCTGTAAGGGAAAAGTTATCAAAAGCAGTGTGCCATATTCATATGATACTTTATAGGTATTTTTGACTTCCAACAAGTGCCAAACATTAAAAGTCGTGGTGCTATGCTAATAAGCATAAATCCTTTTTTTTTTGTTGTTGTTGTTGTTGTAGAGAGTGACATAAACTATCTAATGAGCATTGCCTTGGACAAAATTGCCTATATCCCATTTGGATATTTGGTGGACCAATGGCGCTGGAGTGTCTTTGATGGTTCGACAAAGTTTGAGGATTATAACAAAGAGTGGTGGAAGTTACGGTAGGTGTGGCACATGCATGTAATGCATTCGCTATGTGCTCAGGTGTACCATTTTTACAACTAACACATTCATTATCTCCGCCAAGGAGGTTATGTTTTTGGTTCTGTTAGTTTGTCTGTCTGTCTATCTGTCTGTCTGTTAGCAACATCACAGAAAAAGTTATGAACTGATTTTGATGACATTTTCAGGAACTGTCACAAGTGGGCCAAACAGATGATTAGTTTTTGGTGGTGATCTGGATCATTAAACAATCAATAATCAATAATCAAAAAAACAATATCATTATAGAATGAAAATTTAGGGGTGAAATGGCATTGGGTGGAGACTCTGCTGCCTTGGCGGAGGTCTGCGCTCTTGGAGTGCTTTTTTAGTATTTTGCTTTCATTCAGCCCAATGGGAGTGGTTTTGTACATGTCCACACTATAGAACATTCGGACCATTGAACCCTTGATTTAAAAAAATGAAAATGTTACCATTTTTCGGATCAGTGAACCTTCAGACTTTCGAGACACCCCCTGTTCATTCAGCCAGAATCCAGTAATTTCTTCAACATGGGGTACCACTGGCCTCATTTTTACACTTTTGTGTTGGCACACCTAACGCACTCCATATATAAAGAATTCCCTGATTGAAAAAACTTTGATAATAATCTTTTCCGTCAGTGACTGAAGTGGAAAATATAGTGCCATTGCAAAAATACTTTCCCGATTGAAAACAAGAATCAATGTCTTTTAATAGCCCACTGTCAAGAATGTGATGAATGAAATTGCATCATTATACATTTTCATGCCAGTTATTTACAAGACACCCTATTATCTGTGTACTGAAGATAAAGGGAAATTTCAAATATACAACAATCAATCAAAGATATTGACTCGTTTCAGGTGCAAATACCAAGGCGTTTCTCCCCCAATACACAGAAAGGATGATGATTTTGATCCTGGTGCCAAGTATCATGTTCCAGCTAATTTCCCATATATAAGGTTCGTTTTCAGTGTATATTGAAATTGTATGTTAACCATTGCTAGGTACTTGGTATAAAATGAACTTTCAGATCCTGACTAATTAAGTTACATGAAAGACATTTAGTATACATTAGATAACTAAAAGTAATATAATGGTGTATATATTAAAATGCAGTTTATTCTAGGTACCTTTCTATCCAAGTTTCTAAATTTTGATGAATTATCAATCAGATCGTTTGATTTGTTTACACATAGAGTCCAATATTGAACATTTACATCTCTGTGTGGAAAAGAACTTATTAATTAAAATGAAGCACCTTTTGAAGAAAAGTGACAATGGCATTCTCATATTAAGGGGAGGGATATTTCTCTTCTTTAAATTTTTTCAAGTCAGTGATAATTCAAATAATGAAACTATTTGTTCACACCAAATTGTTCACACCAAATTGGCTAAAGCATGAGTCTTTAGAGTATTTTCAAAGAAAGTTAACAATAGAGCTGCATAAGCTTTAGAAATCTCAGTTTGGTTTCTCTCTCCAATATAAGCATATAATACAAACAAGATAATCTAATTTACTTTTAACCTTTATGTCTTCAGATATTTTGTGAGTAATGTCCTACAGTTCCAGTTCCACGAGGCCCTGTGTAGCACAGCCAATCAGACGGGTCCCTTGCACATGTGCGACATCTATCGATCTTTAGAAGCAGGAACAAAACTTGGGTAATGAGACTGTAAAAAAATTCACTCAAAATAGAATACAATGAAATATCATTAGTTCATTGCATATTAGATCATTAGTCTGATACACATTACTTAAATTATTACTAATTATATTCCTATTTATTAGTATACAAACCCTCATCAGAAAGTTGTTGGAAGTGAACCAAGGCATAGTTCATTATTACAACACAAGGTGGCAATACTATCTGTGTATTCTAGCTTTATATGCAAATTCAGCATCTCCATGCAGGTATATAACTGTAGAGAAATAGCATTTCTGCATTTATACATTTCCTCAGTGAAAATTCAAAACACTTTTACCGTATAACTTTTTTGCATAATTTCATAACTGACATAGGCCTTGTAAAACGCAACTTCATATGACTGGCTATATTTGCCAAAAACAATTCAGTATTACTATCATATCTACAGCAATTACACCCAAACATCATCACAACTAACACAATCCCTGCAAACTGTGAAATCTAATGCAATTAAACCTTTAATGTTATCTGTTTACCTTTATATTTTAGTAACATGTTAAAACTTGGATCCAGTAAACCATGGCCAGAGGCACTGGAGCAAGTTACAGGGACCCGTAACATGTCCGCTAACGCCATCTTGCTCTACTTCAAGCCTCTAATTGATTGGCTAAAGGTCCAGAATCAAGGTCAGAACATAACATGGTCTGAAGAATGTCCAACTGAGTTTTACACGACTACTTCTGCTCCTTCAACCGCCAAACCAGCAAATTCAACTGGAAGGTTGCACAATGGTTTCTTTATAGTAGCCTTTATATCTGTATTGGCGCTTTACATTTTAAGGTGAACACTCAAGCAAAGTACTAATTGGAGTCGATTAAGACAGTAGAACAACTGACAGGCCAATTTACAGTTGAAATCACTGTACTACATTTTAAGACAGTAACTGAAATGAACTGAAAATCAGACTACAATTTATCTTTCCAATTCTTTGTTCTTAGCATATTTAGTCAGGAGCCCCAACTTGTGCTTACATATTACACTTATACTGAATATATCTGAAAAAAACTGAATTGAAAAGGCTTTAGAGACATTATAGATACACTATCACCATTTTATATTTCTTTTTTTTTCCAAAATTGACGATTCAGTGCATATCTATATTTTGGTTTCTTGTGAACTAACATTTGAATCATCGATTGAGAAAAATCTTCAGTTTTGATCAATCATTTAAAATTGAAATTAAAAAACAATAATTTGAAGGAACTGGCTACCATGGAAATAATCCACAGTAGAGAAATTTGAATTTGTGTCATTTGCAGGGGCATTTTGGTGGTCTAATCAAAAGATTTTAACTGTCCACATGGCTTTCTGCTTTGTTTTGGGGTGTATTCAGCTTAGTTATAGCAGTTTTTTTTTCAATTCCCTATAGCTATATGGATAAGGTCAAACAGCTGGCAGGCAGAGCAAGATAAAAACATCCTATATTTTACTGTACAGTAAGCAGAAAGTAAGCAAATCTGTTTCCAGAAGTCGGTATATCATCTCATATGCAAACGAAACTTATGTGCCCTATTTGTAAAAGGGCAAAATGGCTAAATAAGTGCACCATTCAATAAGATTGTCAATTAACATTTTTATACCTCTGGGATCTGAGATGGCTTTAAAGGTACATACGAACCGAGCATCGGTGGAGCGTGGATTCCCAATAACACATGTAAACCACTTCTACTAGTTTCTTATACGACTCAAATAAATTTGACATGCCAAGGGATAAATTGAATAGATCACTCGATCAGTCATAAAAGAGCTTTAGACTGCTCCTTTCTTTAAATTTTTGGTTGGAAATTTAACCTACTTTCGTGACCTACTTTTCTGCCCCATTGACATACAGCATAGAATGCTAGCAGAAAAATCCGTTCAAACATCATTTTCAGGTAAAATTAAACAATGCTTTTTGGTAATTCTCTTAGTTATACCATTTGAAACTATATGCTGGCATTTGGTTGGTTTTTGTGACAAAAAATTAACTTTGTATGCATCTTTAAATATTTGTCACCATATCCTTGAGATTAAACGGCACAAAAAAACAGTTGGGTAGACATATTACTGAATAAGTTTCTATTTCATTTTTCTGTACTTTACTGGATCACACATTAGATAAACATAAATTAAACAAAATAATTCCAGGCATAACACACAGTATAAGCTTTTATTCTGCCTAAAATCACATACTTGATTTATATGTATAATTTTTTCAAAACTGTTTTGTAGTAATAAATGTAACTGAAGTTTCTATTTCATTTTTCTGTACTTAACTGGATCACACATCAAATAAACATTAATAAAACAAAATAATTCCAGGCATAACACACAGAATAAGCACCCTTAATTTATATGTATAATTTTTCCTAAACTATTTTGTAGTAATAAATGTAACTGAAGTTTCTATTTCATTTTTCTGTACTTTACAGGATCACGCATCAAATAAACATTAATTAAACAAAAATATTCCAGGCATAACACACAGAATAAGCTTTTATTCTGCCTAAAATCACACACTTGATTTATATTTGGCCAAGTCTTATAAGTGAATTTTGCAGATTTAACAAGCTGAATATAAATAAAAACAAAATAAATTAATAATAAATCAATGAATATACAGTCATATCTGTTCATCCTTTCTTGCAATTATAACAGTATAAAGTTTATATTCAGTGATGGTTTTCTAAGCAATACATATAATTTTTTCTAAACTATTTTGTAGTAATAAAAGTAACTTAAGCTTCTTTTTCATTTTTCTGTACTTAATTGGATCACACATCAAATAAACATTAAATTTAATAAAACAAAATAATTTCAGGCATAACACACAGAATGAGCTTTTATTCTGCCTAAAATCACACAATTGATTTTATTGTATAATTTTTTCTAAATTGTTCCGTAGTAGAAAATGTAACTTGAGTTTATATTTCTTTTTTCTGTATTTTACTGGATCACACATCAAATAAACATTAATAAAATGAAATAATTCCAGGCATAACACACAATAAGCTTTTATTCTGCCTAAAATTGCACACCTGACTGATACTTGGAAAGTCATAAAAGTGAACTTCGCAGATTTAACAAGTTGAACATAAATAAAAACAAAATAAAGTAATAATAATGAATAAACAGTCATTTTTGTGCACCATTATAACAGTAATAAAATTTTAACGCATTTATACTCAATATTCCATCACATGCTTTTACTTGTTTTTCTGTCTTCTCAGGAATGAATTAGAAGACATCAATTTCAGCATTCCTTTTTAAGGTATTAACACTTTCAATGAGCTGGATAACAATTATGATAACCTTAAAGGTTTATTTTTCAGCCCCACTTGATCTGAAATATTCTTGTAAAAGTTCTTCAACTTTTGGTCTGTTTATGAGCTTATTGGCTTTTCCTTGAAACCGCCCTTTTTTGCCGAAGCCTTTGCCCTCTAGCAGATCAGAAACCCTGAATAATAACAGACACAACAACTTGTGAATAATAACTCATCATTTTGCAATTCTTGTGACAGTAAGTTATATTTTCTAAAATGAGAACAAGGGGAACCCGAAATGACGATCACCAAAATTGGAAATATGTAATATAGGTCATCGATGAAACACTGTAACAAATGTACGACTACGAGTCACTGTAAAAGAAATAAATAAATAATTAATGTCCACATCTTTTAGAATCATGTGTAGTAATAAAATCATCTTTAAAAAATTATGAACTAATAATAGTTATTTCACTTAGTTTGAATTTGCCCCAGGGCTGCGACTTACTTTGGTCCAAGAGTTACAACAGTATCTTCTGGCCCAGCCAGCAAGAACATTCCAGAACCCTGCTCATCTCCTACAGTGAGGAATAGTACCACATTCTGCAATATTCAAGAATCACAAAGTCTTTTACATTTATGAAATGACTATTTTATTAAAAATGTTATTTTTATTGAAAATAAATAAATAAATAAATAAACTTGGTGGACAGTCACTGAAACATTGGAATTTAAACAAGAATTCCTAATCACATTTCACAATTTTTAGCTTCCTTGATTTTCTGTTTACTTTGTATTGTATCTGTAAAGAGATGATATTAATCTGTAATTTAATTTTTTATATCTTACCTCATCATTTATTTCATTGACAATTATGTTCATGAATTCATTGTCTCCTTCTTTCCTGTAAAGACAAAACATTTTAACTAATAAAATATGGTTTGCATTTTGGCATTTAAATAAAGCACATAAATACAGGGCAAATCTGCAAGCTCATATATGAATAATTTAACATTGCAGAGTCTAATCTCTTCGAAGATAATCCCTCACCTGTGTAGTGAAAAGAAGTTATCTCTTTCAGGATTGGTCTTAAACTTCTGTGCCTCCAATACTGCCAGGTCTCTTAACAATGTTAAGGCATTCTGTAATAAAATGAGGACTCACCTATACACATTATGGAGTAGACCTTACAGTGAAGGCAGCACTCAAACAATTTTCACTGTGTTCATTGTTTGTAGGAAAAAATCTTGTGTAAAGTCAAAATATTCAACATAAAAAATTTTCATAAATTAATTTTATCAATTACTTAATAATATTTAGAAATTTATTCATTCTTCTTTATATATCAATCAATTCAAAATATCTACACTTATCTACTTGTTTATAATGTTTAATTTAAACCTATTTTTCAGCATTATTTGTATTTAATTCACTGTATGCGACAATTCTTTTCAACAGAAATTTATACCAAAATCTGAAAAACCTATAATATGTGGCAGAGAATCTATTAAAACTCAATAATAATGTAGCCAAATTACCTTCTGTGCAGCTTTCAAATTTTTCTGCATCTTGTCAGCAAGCTCTGCATATTCTTCTGGTGGTCCCCTAAGAATAAGACACACTTTATAATATTGACACATGCATTATCTTTATATAGTATTACACATTAACTTTGAACTAGCATGCCTCCGTAGTAATACCCCCTACATTGTATAATATTGTATATGCCCCCTTATTTTATATGAACAGACAAACAATTTTAAAAAATATTATATAGTACAAAAATATAATCAAATAAAATTATAATCATCTTCAATTCACATGCATATGAATCAAACTAAAAACTATAATATTTTTCAGTGACTAAGGAACCTGTAATGACCTTGGCAGTTACGAAAGTGCAATTTTTGATTTAACAATGATTTAGTAAAATACATCCTGGACCAACTAGAATGTTTTTCTTCCTTTCATTTCATGAAATAACTTTCTGTTTCAGTTATTTAAAGATTTCAAGAACTTACTTAAACACACTATTCAAAGCCTTTTCTGTCTGATAGCATCTTCCCAAGTACTGCAACACCCTGCTTCCAGCCACAAAAACCAGGTTACACTTGCCTTTCTTGCCCTTCTCTACACTCAAAAGCTTGACTGCCTGTCCAAAAAACAACATTGCAGAATAAGCAACTATGTTAGTCTCATGTTTAAATTGACATAATTTGATTATAAGCTCTCATCTTGCTCTCACCCCCAAGGGTGGGTTTGAGAATATGTGGACCTGTCATATATGAAAAGTTTTTAACTATCAAAAACTACGAGCCAATGATAAGAAACACTTTTCACATTTAGTCCACCAACAGATACCTTCCAAATCTTATCATTCCCACCTGGTTGCCCACCTGACTGTGATAAGAATGGTACCAAGTGTGAGCCAGTTCACCTGAAGATTTCTGCACATCTCTTACCTGCAAATGACTCAGGTTAGTTACATGTGTACCACAACTGTGTGTGTGTGTGTGTGTGTGTGTGTTTGGGAGGGGAGGTGTTTTCCTATATTCACACAAAGCACTCTTGAAGCCCCTTTCTTAATTGTAATTCTAACAATTATTCATGAAAATTTAAACACAAGTTTCAATACAGTTTGGCAGAATTTGCTAAATATGAAACTTCTTAAATTAATAGACTTAATGAAAGTTTATCTCAATTATTTCAACAAAGAAATGAATAAAGTAAATCAAGAAATTCATATAATAATTCTACAAATGTATCTAAATATGTCTGTGTGTGTGTGTTTCTTACCATGATGTTGTTTTGTATCCATATTTCTGCTCTGCTATAGCTGTCACCAAGTGCTGTGCTGAAGACAATCAAATGCTAGAGATGTTATCATCTTGCAGATGATTAATCACTCATCATGCCTCAGAATTCACCAAAAATTCAGAACAACAACAATTTTACTGAGCCACCAGACAGAATCATTACTTTTTTCAATATATCAACTGATTAATGGTACAAAACAAAATATTTTAATCCTATCATATTGCCATTTTTCTTTGCACCATGAACATTTGTTTTTCTTTTTTTTTCTTTAAACAAAATTTGGACATTTCATTTTGATTAATATCAATATTGAGCCACAGGTATTATTTATGACATTTCAATCAAATCTCACACCAATTATTACCAGAGTGTTGTTGCATGTGGTCAAACCTCCGTGTCCAGTCCACAGTCACCTTGACCTCAGAGTTGACCTCCAGGTCAGACTGAACAAAATGGACAGCTTCGGCCCCTCGCCTTGTTACACGATGGACATCCACACTATTTATCTAAAATAATAAAACTGTGAAGTTTGGATAAGTCAGGCATAGTCAAACTAAGAAAACTATAACTAACTAGGCAAGTTTTACAGTTTAAAATAGACATGGACATCAACACCATTCATCCAAAATTAGCAAGTTGTGTGTTTTAAGACATACAAGAATATTCACCTCATTCATTACCAATACTTAGAACAAAATGTCTGTTCAATTAAAATAAAAGCTTTTCTCGAGACATCACTGGTGATAAAATTTTCTAAGCAAATGTATTTCTTTCTTTGAAAAAAAAAAATAATAATAATTTACAAACACAGTTTAGCCAAGAAGGAAAGTGTCTCAGAAAACTGTTTCATTTGAATAAATTTTGTTATGATGTTGCACGTTACACAATAAAGGACTAACCTTCCCTCGGTCATCTGGCTGAAAAACATCACATCAAAAATATATTAAGTATGAAATAAGAATTAATATTCACTTTAGAGGCATTGAAAATTGATGCTCATGACTCATAATTGCAAATTTAAAGCTTTTGGCCATAGATTGTACACTAGTTATCTCACAGAAGGCAAAATCTCGGCCATTTTTTTGATCACTCTGACGTATGATTACACTTGGGCCATGTGCATCAAGAAGAGAGCGATTAACTCTGTCGGTCTGTAGCACATCCACAAATCTCAAATGTTTTATTTTTTTGTAAAACAGATATATGGAAATATCAATCTTAATGATTGGCTGTAAAAAGAGATAGAAAAGGGAAAAAATGTTTTTAGTCAGTTCACACACATACCTGACCTCCACCCTCTGGAAATAACACAGTATCTTCTAATACGACTTCAAATCCTTCCAACTTTTGTTTCTTTCCATTTACAACTGTTTGTAAGCGGGCTGGGACACATGACTTCACCCTAGTGCTCAGCTGAAACAAGATTATCCCAAAGATTGACATAAATTCAGTTGTTCAATATCCTTCTAGTGAAAACTTGTTTAGGCCTAACTCTTTAGGTGGGAGAGTAAATATAAATGCTGTCATTTATCAAATACTTTATCGTTATTATCTCATTGCTGAGTTTACAAGAGTAAGACACTGCGCAAGACGAATTTAATTTAACATTGTAAGGGTGAATGGACAGACTTCAAAACTGGCGGCAAAATTTCTGGACTTATGTGAAAAAATTCAGAAATGAGAGGAAAGGTGAAGTAGGAAATAAATACAATTTCACCTTTTTATTATTAAAACATTAAAACTTTCACAGAAGTGCCAGAGACTTGAATACGGCTAATCACACCAACTTCCTTTTGAAAGCAAATTTTATGTCCAGTGCATAAAACAACATAAAAGAAAACACAACTACATGTCAAAAGCTGTGAAGATACAGTAGTGAAGCATAAAACTCATTGATTAAATTTGAGCTTGTTTTTTACAGTTTGGACAAAGCATTTGTTGGAAAACACCTAATTCTCTACCTCTCTCAAATAACTATCCTGCTGACAGGACAGCGCCATGTCAAATCTCGTTCACTCTCGCATATCGAGACCACAACGTGGTGCATCTTGGGTAATTTCAGCCATTTTTCTGGGAAAGGTAGAAAATGTAAAACATCACTAAAACCAGGCTTATTTTTCCACATATCATAAACAAAGGGCCCGTATATTATTTCAGAGGTAAGTGACGCCCTTATCCTTTCAAATTTTTGCAACGTCATTAACCAAAAGTAGCTTTTTAAGAAGTTCAAGGAATGCAAACCAAGGCCGTCTGCCTTGAAGTTTCACTGTTGTGATATTGCGGTGACTCAGCTGACTACCTTAAACAGGGGTAGATCTGTCAACCCGAAAGATTCACATCACCTCGACATGGTGTACCCTAGAGTCTCATTTACCAAAACAAAAAGTATTGTTTGATCGTTTCACTTTCGTCTTTGGCGTTTTGTAAGTGGAAATCCTCGAAGAGTTACATTACTTGGGTTTATAACTCGATCCCAAGAACAATTTACCTGTTTGATACATCATGTTTGTTTTTAAAGCAGGGATGCGCAATCAAGCTCTTCTATTCAACCAAGGATTTTTATCTTCTTACATGTATGTATAGGTATAAATATAAATAAGACAGTTTTCACAAATCTGTTTGGGAAAATAGTGAAAGTTAATGTGGATGGTTAATCAGTATAGAAAAAAAAGATAGCATCTGCATAGTAAAAAAAGATAGCATCATTATCATGTTAGTGCTCATTTCAGTTGTTAACAATTAGACAGACAATGTGATCAGCTGTCATCTAAGTTTAGGATCTTACTAGTACTTTGCTACATGGTTCTGCTGCAAGTAAGACCTCAAAGACATGACTTAGGTGGAGTGCAAATTAGTACACAAGTTGATGAAGTGCTGAACAAACCAAGTACTGTCTCACTGCCTTTAACCAGTTTGTGCATGTGATGAATTAAAGGGAATCTTAAGATTTTCACTAAATGTGTCTTAACTTATCTATTGACATGCTGACATATCGCAACTGATACTCTCAAAGATGGACCAGGTAAACACCTTAAAATACTATTCTGATATGACCTACTTTTATATTACTGTAGTTTTAACTTTAGGTGATCATCACATTCTACTTATATATCAATATATGATTTCCAAATTTACAAATATTTTCATATAGGTGCTTTAAAGTTCAAACTGTGAAAGTAGGCCAAGTTTGTACTTTTATTTTCCACAGACTTCCTTGCTATATCACTGGNACACTGTCATCCTTCTCTTTGATGATCTGAAGGCACAAATGGTTTTACTTATACTGGAATTAACCAAAACTTTACCTGAACCATAAGTGTGTGGAATAAGAATTATCAATAAATTCTATGTAAAGCCATCTGTTAATGTATTATGATTTTACTTTTTACCAGTCTATTGCTGGTGTATGTTTAGCTCCTTAGCTTCATTCTGTATTCATTAATATCTGCTTGTTTTAGTTCTATTACTTTTTTCATATCTAGCTGCAAAGCAGTGGAAAACTTTGTAGACGAACAGTTTGCACAGTATTTTAAGGATGAAAGTGGAGTTAATAGAAGAAATATTCAAGACAGTCGAGTCCACTGCTGTCTATACTTTATATCTCCCTGTGGCCATGGGTAAGTGGGGTTTTTTTTCTTAACACATTCAGTATTTTTGTTTGAATGCGTTATTTTAGAAAATTTGACCTTTTTTATTAATTAAACAAAAGAAATGTCTTCATATGTCAGATATATTCTTTTTTTAGTGTGTGTGTGTGTGTGTGTGTGTGTGTGTGTGTGTGTGTGTGTGTTAAATTTGTATGGAAATGGAATGGAATAAGTTAACATCAAAGGCAATCTCAGGAATGGTAATTGTAACATGCTGTAAATTGGCAAGTTGGTATTCTGGAACTTTTAGGCTAAAACAAGTGGATGTAGAGTTCATGAAACAACTTCATGAAAAGGTGAACATAGTTCCCATCATTGCCAAAGCTGACACACTGACTGCTGCTGAAGTATACAAGTTAAAAAACAGAGTAAGTGAAATGTAGAAATATTTTATTGTTAAATAGAATGTCCTCAAATGCTAACAGTGGGGAAAGAGCCTATTCCAACCATTATAATTGCACATTCAGTTTCTGGCCAGCACATTTAGGTTAGCTCAACTTTGGTTACCACTGAGTCATATGCCTAAAACTCTACACGAAGTTTGACTCTTCTGTGTCACTTGAGTATATAACATTGGATCTAGTGTCCATATTTACCTTACTAGCAAATATGTCCACATTCAAGTTTTTTTTCTATTTTTGTTAATGATTATTTGTGCTTTGAAGTTCCTCCACTTCATCTTTTTTAAACTCACTGAGATAGATTGCCACTGTTGACTTTTTAGCTCTAGAGATTTGACATAGAAATTTTATATAGACTTGTTCCTATCTAAAGAACATCGATAAATTGTCTGCAATTCAGAGTTAATAAGCATTGATATTTGCACCTTCAGTAAGTGAAGATTCCCATTTACAGATTATACAGATTCCAGTCAGAGCTCAGTTAGCTGCATGAATATATGCAGAGTTTCCAACATTTTTTTTTTTTTTTTTTGCATATCTCAAAAAAGTACAGATCTCAAAAAATAAAAAAATACAAAATTGCTGAAAAACTATAAAAAAATCACTCTCACTCATCTTCTTTCACAAGCAGACACTCAGTCATTTGCAATATATATATATATATAGGTACTGTAACATTTACAATATGTGTCAACAACGATATGTTGATAACCTAATAGTAAAATACTTGATAACACTTCATAAATAATACAAAGCTTTCCAACAGTTTTGATTCTGAGGTTATTGAGGACCCCCCCTTCCCCCCAACACACACACACACAAACACACACACACAAACAAACAAACACACACACACACATGAAGAAACCAAGATCACTGCTAAATAATCACTCTTCAAAAATGGTGGAATTTTTTTTTCATGTCAAGAACTGACAAAGGAAGCCACATATTTAGAAAAATATATGTAACACTATTAAACACTATAATGAATCTAAGAAATGGCAATAAGTTTTACATTTTTACATAAGCTCTTTCTCATATCTCCCATTTTAAAAATTTGAAGCACTGACAACATATCATGTGCCAAGTACAGTTGCAAATAACAGTGCAATGCCATATTGTGTTGCAAAATGATGGTCAACGAAACCTATTAACTTAATAACATTTAACTCAACTCTTACTGTTGTTAGTGAGCTGCATTGCAGCACAGTGCATCTTTTAAAGATATATAGACTGCCCTGTTCTATTCAAAATCTTACCTAAATACCAACCCATGTAAATTTGGCTACAAATGTAACAAAAATGTTTCCCTAAATTCAAGCTTATGGCAAGTTAAGTGTTTTGGCTGAAACAGTAAAATTTCCTACAAAATCTTGATAGTATGGTGATCCAATTATGCCAGATATACTGCTTGCACAGGTTTCTCCAAACCTAATATTTTCATTTATTTTGAGCATGTGTTTCCGTGAGTAATTTCAAATGTTTCTACTGTTTGTGTAATTAACTTTTATGGTTTTACTGTGATGCTGAGTCAGGCTGTGATGTAAACTTTGCAGTCAGTACCAACCAGGTACTGCTTATTTGAAACAGAATCCAGTATTTGAAAGTATACACATTTATATTTATAAAATGAGTTTTTTCCCTTCACTTTTTGTTCAAATTCAATTGCAACATTTTGTCAGTGATGATTCAAACTGAATGAATCCCGATAAATGAAATGTCTTTGTGGTGCTTGCTTTTTCTGTTATGTTTTTCCCTTTTTAAAAAAATGTGGATTTATTCATTCACTTCATAAGTTCCTTCTTCTTCTTCTTATTTCTTTTTTTAGTTTTGTACTGCATGGAACAGTTATAGATTGACCTTACCAGTTGATGAATACATCCATCAATTTTTTTAAATGAGCACACAATGAAACACCTTTTGGTGAAATAACTGACCAGAATACTTATAGGGTCCATTTTATCTAACACCAAAACCACCACAAATCCCCACATGCATACACCTACATTGATGTATTCTATGCAATTATTGTCTCTTGAAATGTCAGTCTAGCAAGCATTTTCTGATCTTCCCTTTTAAAGGTTCAAATGTTTTCAGCCAAAACACATTTTTGTGTCTTCTCTTATGACAGGTACTTCAAGAGATAGATGAACATGGCATCAAAATTTATGAGTTTCCGGACTGTGACAGTGATGAAGATGAAGACTTCAAACAACAAGACAAGGAACTCAAGGTATGTTAACCAAGATAAAAGGGAGATGAAATCTTACTTTTTCCAATTAAACACTTTTACAGAGTTATCCTGTCCTCAAACAATGACCCTACACCTGTGCTCTAGATTTATTTTTTT